AGGAGAGGATGATCAGGTCTCCCAACTTTTGCTGCAGAAAATTCCTAGGAGAGCCCAACTGGTACAAGATAGCAGATTTCAGCTTGCACCCCCAGATGTCCCAGGACCACACAGACTGGACAAAAAGCTTATGTTTTGCATATTTCTCTCAGTCAAGCTCCATGGAACCCAACAGAAGCTCTTACAAGTCCACAGAGGACACAGAGCCTGAATTCACACAGTGCCAGGACTTGGATCCTTGCTTGAACATTGGGCACAGTCCCAGTGTGCCAAGCAAGGGCAGCAGAGCAGGGCTATGACGGCCACAGGGATGACCAGAGGCAGGTCAGCAGGGCAAGCCAAGAAGTCAAGTCAGCAAGACAAGGTCAGGACCAGCAAGGTACCTGACAGGGCACAGGCATACCTACAGCACAGCCCAGACCAGAGCCAAAGGCAAGGAGCTGACAAACACCTCCTGATCCCTTTCATCTGATTCTAATTTTGTGGACTCATTGATCCCCTCAATCTCTGCATCCTGCAAATATCTTGACACACCCACACCCAAAGCATTCTCATTTGAGATTCTTAACCTTTCCAAAGAACAAATACCCTCCTGATACATTCATGTTGCGTTCAACTCATTAATCTCCCTGCTTGCCAAGGGCACTCAGAATTGAGCAATAGCACCAAAAACATCCATCCTTTTGTCATGAACCACTCCCTGGGATCAGCATAAACACCCACTCTCAGCAAGAGGCCAAACCAGTGTTCACAGAAAATAGACATGTGTGCTCCCAACACACCTACTTTTAACCTTTCTCTCAGACATACAACAGGGAAGTTGGCGTAAGAGATGCCCTTTGTGTATTTCTATGCATTTTGGGGGAAAGTGCCCTGTTTTCCTGTCTCAATTCATCTCCTCCTGCTCTTTTAAGTCTAGAGAGGCAGTTAATCTTTCTTCAGTGGGAACTGTAGCAGCGTCTTATTTTTATGCTATTAATCATTGCAATGTCTGTGTGGAACACTTAATGTAACATAATTCAGTCATGCAAAGTATGAAGACTGTCAGTCAGGGAAGTCTCTAAATGTTTTGATAGGAACTTTGCCCCACAAAAGTAAGAAGAAAACAGTAAAAAAGGAGAAGCAAGGAGGAAAATTAAGCATTTTCAAATATTTGCCCTAGCTGCTTCCTAAAGATCTTGCAAAAGGCCAGGAGAAGGAAAGCAATAAATTACATGCACGAGTAACCCCACTAACAAAGATGGCTCTTTCTGCAGCTAATTTAAATAGCAACATGGTACTGGTCTGGGCTTCAAATGGCAGATGCCTTTCCATAACTACAGATCTCCCTGATGTTCTCAATCAAGTCCCTTTATCTCAATTCCTCTTCCCATCCCTGCCTGCTCTTTCATATGAAAAGGAACATTTTTAAAACAAACAACAACAAAAAACCTTTGAGAGAGAAGATTTGTTCACTCCTCTTCACGTAACTGCGTTTTCAACTGAAGTCATAGCTTCAATCTGTTACCAGAACATATTTACTCAAAACATATGATAGTGGAGAAAATTGAAACTGAAGCTATTGTGACCACTAGGAGGTCTGTTCAGCTATAACAGGAATCACAGTATTCCTCATCTCCCACAGTCTCCATGAAGAGCTCAAGAGAAGGCTTGCCTGCCAAAAGGCAAGCATCTCTCCTCTTCCTTGACAAAATCAGTTACTCACATCTCATGTGAGGTGTCATATCCATAACTTGGGAAAGCACTTCTGGTAGGAAGATGCTGTGCAGGCAGAGCTGCTGCTAAGGCAAAATTGAGAGCAAAGTCTACACTATTGTCACTGTTGTGGTGGCACCTAAGGCATTTACACATCCAGCCTAGGAAAGCAGCCCCAGTACCATAGAAGAAGGTATAGCTTTAGTCTAAGACTGGCTTCTACACTTTTGTTTTCCATAACTGAAAAAAAATGGACTGTAAAAGCCAACAGGGATTTAGGGTTTGTTTGAGGAATTTTTAAAAATTCTTTTCTTCTACATCCTAGGTTCAAGAAAAGCCTAAGAAATGTGCTTTAAAATTGTTTCAAGACGGATTAAAGCTGACAAGAAACTTCAGGCTGAGGAAATCATCCTAAACTCAGAAGTTAGTCAAAGACTGTGTACATTGTATTTTAAATCAATAATCCTGCATGATTTGCAGCCTAAGTTCCTTCCTCCTCTCTCACAGCAACAAAATCACATTTGGGAGAATGTTGTATAGATCTCTCCATAACCAATAATGGCAGAACCATGAGACAACTCCAGCTTTAGCAGATTCTTACAAACAGAGAACATACCATGACCACTGACACCAAGCAGTCACCAGTGCTGGTGGGGATGGCTGTCCTACTGAAGGCCAAGTTCACCCCAAGAACAACTCAGGTACCTCAAACCACGCCTATAGAGCCATTCTTCTGCTTTCTTGCTCTCTTAGAAATTTGCTATCTTCCCCACCACTTTTGACCAAAAGAGGCATTTGAGAATCTCAAATCCAGCCCTGGATGATACAAGGTGAACCTTGAGGCTTCTGTGTCAAAAGATCTGGACCACTTCAGTCAGGGGATACATCTCCAGTTGGGTTACTTCTGCTCAGTCAAGATGCAAAACTATTCTTGCTAAGACTTATCTGCCCCATTGTTCCTTTCTTTGACAAACAAACGCTTTTAGAATGATCTATTTGTTCAACACATTTAGTGTTTGCATTCAGAAGAATGCAAAAAATGGAAAAGGTTCTGTGGATTTTCATGACACTATCTCCTCATAATCAAAGTCTATGGCATATGAAAATCCATGTATTTTCCATTTCTTACTAGAGAGTTAGTAAAATAAGACGTTTTTAAATCTAAAATGATACAAAAGTAACCCAAACAAAAACAAAAGAGTTTCTGGTGGTTTTACCTCTTATTTGAGTAACTGCTTCTAGCAGTTTCTGACCAAAGCCTTTCTCAGTTTTCACAAAAGCAAAAATAAAGGTGAAGGATAGGACAGTCCCATCAACTGACATTTGCACTCACACATAGACATATTTAATTTCCAACTTCAGCAATTAATGACAGCATCTATTAAATTCACCCGATCACCAAAACACAATTAAGTGGAATAAAACTAGCATATTCTAAAATGTTTTACAAGCAAACCAATTTCAAGCTGAAATGAATTCAGGATCAAAATAGCAAGTGAAGTGACAACACAGAGCTGGACACTAGATCAAAGGCTCTCTGTCTCCAGACCCATTTGAGACATATTTGCATTGCTACCAACAAGACGACCATTTACTTGTCATTATTGTCACCAGGTCATGAAAGAAATTATTATCTTAACCGTAACACATATTATTTAGTAGGAGCCCTTGTTTGATTCTCTCACAATAATTCATGCTTAAATTTATGGGAGGCATAAAATTCCTGTGGCAGAGTGCCTGTAAGGGAACTAATGTATCTTGCATGACAGTTATTGACAGCAAAAAGGATTCCTAACTTGCAGTGCTTCCTTGTTAATTGCTACCTCTGGTCTCAAAGAAGACACATTAAATAAATGTTTTTCAGTAATTTCCCTTTGTTTGAAATCTACAGTGAAGTCGACAGTGACAACATTTGGACGTTATCATAAAATTTCTATAACAGGTTCCTTTAATCTGCAGTGTGTAGATTAGAATGGACCTTTAGAAAAGATCACTTACAAAATCCCATCTCTAAGATTCCAGAGTCTTTCAAAAATCAAATTTCAGGAGGTGCTCACTGTGGGTTGAAGGCGGCTTCTTCTCTACATCTACATTACAAGAACATGAAGCTAGAGCAGGAATAAACAATTTGACAATAAGAACAGTGCCTTACCAAAGGAACTTGTAAGAACAAACAAATACAAAACCACTGCTGTGACTCATTATAGTGTCAGCCTGAGGGGAAAGGAGAAAGCAATATTTTTCTCTACTACATTTGTGCAAGTCTTTTTATTTGCAAATGCCAACTTTCATAAATGAATATCCTGAATGATGTGTTACCGAGACTGCTGAAATCTTCTACCCACGTGCATGTACATATTCCAGGGTGCTCCCTACAGCCAGGGAAGACACCCACTCGCTACAGAGTTAAGCACTGTGTTGATTTGGCACAGCCTGGTTTTTTGATAGCAGGGGGGTCACAGGGGTAGCTTCTGTGAGAGTTGCTGGAAGCTTCCACCATGTCCGACAGAGCCAATCTCTGATGGCTCTGACGATGGACGTGCTGCTGGCCCAGTTACAGAGGTTGGTAATGCCTCTGTGATGACAGATTTAAGAAGAAAATCCCAAGAGCACACGGGCAGTTTTTCCCAGGGCTGGCGAGGCGCCGCTGCCGGGGCCATCCCGGCACAGCCCGCGGCAATGTGCCGCCGCAGCCGCCGCCATCTCGGAGCGGCTGCAGCGAGCCTCGCCTGCCGGGCCGGCCCAGCCAGCCCCGCTGCGGCGCCGGGGCAGGGCCGGCGGGGCAGGGCCAACAGGGCCGGGCCCGCAGCTTCTCCTTCCCGGTGCCCTGCCCGAGCACAGGCGTTAAACAGCGCCAGCGCCGCGGCCGCCACCTCTGCCCGCACAGTGACAGCGGGGCCGCCCGGCCGGCAGCAAAAACGTGGCGGGAGAGTCCCCAACGCCGAACCTAAATGAGATCAACCC